CATTTAGCGTTAAGATAAAGAACTTGTTACCCAGGACGTTTTGGCTCTGCACTTAGCCAGTGTGTCTGGTCCTGAGCTTTGAACGCTTGAGGTGTCTTACTGAGGTCCTGCTGGGTCTGCAGCAGCAGGTACCTGCAGGTCTCTGCACGCAGCTTCTTGAGAACCGTCTCGCCAGCTGACTTTCTTATCGTTCCACTGCAGTCACACCTCCAAGACGACCAGCTGGCTGGATCCGCGAACGCAGAACAGGGAGTCTGTGCCCAAGCCTGAGAGTAAGAGAGGCCGCTGCCGGCTGTGTGACTCGCTGACCTCTGACCCGCGCGCCTGCACCGCTCACTGCCTTCACAACCGCTGCAGAGCAAGAGCAAAACGCTTACCTGCATTGCTCACAGACTCTTCCCCCTTACATTGTCCACTTTTCTGACTCACTCTTACAAGCCCTGCGTATAACCTGTAACGTACGTTTACATGTCTGTAAGATCTGTGAAGAAGGTGCAGTCACACTGACTGAGAAACACTGTCATGTCTCGAGAATGTGCCTCTCTCCCCTCCCTGTTTCAGCCAATGCTCTGTTCTCTCTCTTTATTAAGTTACTTCTCCTCCCTCTGTTTTTTTCTGGAAGTTTGCTCAGCAGGAAGACTTGCTGTCCTCTTTCATCTCTCACCCTCCCTCTCTCCTGCTCCTGTGTGCTGAAGTGTGAAACACAGGCACATGCAGTGCTCTCCGCTGAAATGTGAAGGCCCCTCTCTGCTGTCTCTTCCTCTCTCCTCTCTGCCCGTCAGAATCCAAGAACTTTATTGGCGTGACAGACGGATTACAGCCTCGCCAAAGCAGATACAGTTAACACAAGGTTGATAGACATCCATCCCTTCTCTAACTACTTCTTACAGTTCAGGGTCACAGAGGAGTCAGAGACTATCCCAGAAAGCAATGGGTGCAGGCAGGGTGCGCCTCTCCATCACCGGGCACACACAGACACAAACACACACACACACTCGCACCAGGGCCAGTTTTCCCAGAAGCCAATTCACCCGCCAGCATGTCTTTGGAAAGTGTGTGGAAACCAGAGCACCTGGAGGAATCCATTGCGAACACATGTAGAACGTACAGTCTCCACACAGACAGCACCCCAGGGCCACAACAGACCAGTCAGCAGTGCTGACCACTGTCTCCCCATGGTGCCCCGCTTACAGAAGGAAGTATTTGAGAGTCCCAGTCCCTGTTCCTCAGGCTGGGACAGGAGATAACACACCGGGCAGCTGCTCTGTTGAGTCCCCCCCCCCTCTAGGACTGGGAGCCGTTCTAGCAGGTGTGGGAATTCTGGGACGAGGTTTGTTATTCTAGGGAAGAAGCTTTCTCTAACCCCAGAGTATTTCTCACAGCGCGGCAGAAAGTGCATTTCCGTCTTTGCTTCTCCCTGCCGGCCACGGGAGCACAGCCTGTCCTGCCTGCACATCTGTGTCTCTCTCTCTCCTCTCTCTGCTGCTGGCCTGTCATCTCTGTCTCTGGGGATTAATGACATTCTGGACTCAGGTGCATGAGCTCCCCGCGCCTCTCCTCCCTCAGAGGAGAGAGACGGCGATTCCGGAAGGCACTGTCCTACAAACCATGGAGCCGGGCCTCGATGCCCACCAGATCTCAGTTTTCCCACACTCAAACGATAGGGGCAGCCTGGAATTCGGAAGCGAGCAGGGACTGAGGATGGGCTGATGAGCGCAGAAGTGGAGCGTCAGTCCTCCTGTCTCTCGGGACAGGGGCCTCAGTCCTCCTGTCTCCAGGGAGAAGGGCTCACACTTTCCCGTACAGCACTGGGACAGGGGCAGGCCCAGTCCCGGATTCTCCCTGTGTGGGCACTGGCTTCCGACTGACCATCACTAGGGATGGTTTCACTGGGGTCCTTTCTCTCTGTGGAATTGATAAGTATTGATTGATCAGCAGCACTAGGGATTGTTCCAGTCTGACACTTTTAATTCAAGATCTCCACACAACTCTCTGTTCCGCCCTGACACTGTTAATGTAATATCCCTCTCTCTTTCTCCCTCTCCTCCCTCAGGCGGTGTGTCTGCAGGCCTGTTGTGCCCCGCTGGCCTGTGTTTTGTATTTTGTCTCTGGGCTATTCTGAGACTGACTTGTCTGTCTGTCACATGAGTCTGTGTGTCTCAACGTGGCTCTAACTCTCTTCCTTCTCCCCTCTTTCCCTCAACCCTCATCATTATTCTTTTCCTCCCACTTTTCCTGCCTTTCTCCCATCTCTCCTCTCCTCCGTCCATCTCTCCACTCCTCCCTCTATCCTCTTCCCCCTCCATCTCTCCTCTCCTCACTCAATCTC